CATCCTATGTGTGCTCATTTTGGTTCAACTAGTCAGACGTCTTATTCGCCCAAATAAGAGTCATTCACTTACATTAATTACGATGTTCGTTATCAAATTTTAAGAGCAATCAAATCTTTTAAATAGCAAAACTAAATAAAACCAATAATATTAAGAGAGGATCAACCAATTTATTAAAAATGTAGGGACCATCTTGTAAACTTTTATTTACAATCCAAAAGCAATCGTTTTTAAAATAAACTATTAAGTTATTAATACTTCAGGACCATTTATGTAACTTAAAAGTTTGAACTCGTAAATAGAGAATTTTATAATAGAAATTTAATTTAGTGGAGAGAAACTAAGGCTTTCTTTTGAAAAAAGGAACAAATCGTGTTCCAGTCTGACAACCATATATTTAGAGTATATATATATATATATATATATATATATATATATAATATATATATATATATATATATATATATATATATATATATATTATAAAAACATTGTTATACAGCCTTCGATCCGGACCCGATTTTTACCTTCTTCTCTGCCCGAAAATATCTACAATTTTCTGCCATTTCTAAGTGCTAAAAGCTCCGATTTTTGTGATCAATTACCCCAATTAGTTCCTAAAAAATAACTATTTCATATCTCCACCTTTTCTAACATAAATCCATACTATTAACTAATAAATTAACCCAAAATTCTGAAAATAACATATTTATCATATCAATATAAAATTTTGGGTTTTCTTCAAATTCATATACTTTATGGCCGAATCGGAAGCTTACTGTTGAACCAAAACATGTAATGCACGACATAAAGACACTCAAACAATCTAATCAAGCTTACATTAGAGATCATACCTTAATTGCCAAAAAAAAAACTCCGAAAATCTTGAAGAACTTCTAGCTCGTACTTCTTCTTCAATTCTCAGTTGATTTCCAAAATTCTTGTGAGATTTTCACTCAATTTTTCGAGCTATATATATTGCCTAAGTCCATAACTGAGGAACCCCTTTCATATTCTCAAATTTACAGCATTTTTGAAGATGATGTTTTTTTTGCCATTAATCTCCATTATTTTCCCCTAATTGACTCATTAACTTTGAATTAATCATTATTTTGTATTAATACAATCTGATTATGAATTATTACAAACTCCCCCACTTTAGAAAAATTTTGTCCTTGAAATTCGAATTAAGCAAATAAATGAGGGTATTTAGTCTTCATACCTCGTTCAGTTTCCCATGTCGCTTCTGAACCTTTATGATACTGTCACATCCCTAATTTCACTGTCAGAAAAGACTGATTTGTTTATGCTTTGTTTTATAAAATCAGAGTAATCTTTTGATTAAAAGAGTTGCGGAATTTGTTCCCAAAACAAAATATGATAAAATTTATCAAAATGTTTCTTAAAGAGAATATATTTTCATTAAATAATAAAACCTCGGGATGTCATGTTCCGATACAGACCAAAAGCATAAACAATATAAAATAGACCTTACAACAGTTATTTATAACTACTGATCTATAATCCAAAATCTCTCGTCAAGTCCACCAACTTATACCCTTGTGTCATTACCTGTAATGCAATGAAAATTGAGTGGGTCAGGCTTGGGAGCCTGGTGAGCATATGGGGTTTTCAACCCACAATAATACATTTATTATATTCAATCATCAAACAATCAACCCAAATACGCATCCCCATTATCCTCTTTATTTCTTAAGGTTTTACCCTAAGAATCAACTATCCTTTATCCATTCGTTCCTAAGGATTTACCTAAGGAATCGACACGAAGTCCATTGCTGCCAAATTTTATCTATTAGGTACTAAATCCATAGCTATCAAGCGCTAACCCCATAGTCACCAAGGTTCACTCAACATGCGCTAACTCCTTAGTCGCCAAGGTTTACTTTAACATGCGCTAACTCCATAGTCACTAGGCGCTAACTCCATAGTCACCAAGGTTTATACAATAGTCACTACGTCTCATAGTTGCCACTATTTCATCTACCCCTGTTCTACCCAACATATTTTGTAGATATAAAATACATATATAGTTTGAATCAGTTAACACCCGTATAAAAACATCAATTCCAAGCCCATCTCAAATAGACAAATAATACATAACATATAACACGTATTTCATAGCTAATACTTTATATTTATGTGTTAGAAGAAAGTAACCACACACTTACATGATTTGACCATGCTCGGACAACACTACGGCTTGTAACACTACTAGAAAAACAGCCTTTTACGACGCTCATTGCGCGTCGTAAATGGCTCAGACGACGCGTAAATGCGCGTCAAGGAAGGCCCTGTCATAAAGAGATACGACGCGCTTTTACGCGTCGTCTATAGACGACGCGCATTTACGACGCTCATTTACGACGCGCAGTTACGACGCGCCTTTACGACACGCAATGCGTATCAAGGAAGACCCTGTCATAAAGGAAGACAACACACATTCGCGTGTCGTAACCTTACGACGCGCGTGTTAATGACACACAATGCGTATCAAGAAAGACCCTGTCAAGAAAGGCCATGTCATAAATGAAGATGACACACATTTTTGCGTATCATAATTTTAAATGTTTAAAATTTTTTTTTTTTATAGATTTACTAATTTTCAAATTAAATTTACATTTAATGCATCATAATAGAAAATAAAATATCATATACAAAATATATAATCCATTTCATAAAATTTAATGTCATACAAAAATAGAATCCATTGCATAATATTTTATTACAAATTTAACATTTTTTTTGTTTCCGTACTTTGACAATTTATGCTGCTGCTGATTCCGGAGCCAATCTACGACTGCATTCCAGAGCTGATTCAGTGGAAAGAGCATCCCAGACTCCATCACTTGAAATTACAAGCCGCCCACAAGCAGAGGATAACTGAAGATCATGAATAAATAAAAGTTGTTAATAAAAAGAGGAATAAATTGAGTTTAATTACTAATCACCAACACTCAAACCAATTAATGAAAGTTAAAGCATCTAAATAATATAACATGGGATGCAAATATATCATGCATCGTACAAACAATGAAGATTTTTAGTTTCTGGAAGATTATTGGCATCATTGGGATTAAGAGTTTTCTTTGCTTATCCACTGTACCTCATATGTTTCCATCACATTTGAAGGATTATAATGCTACATAGCTCTATTAAAGACGCTGAAATATCTCTCTATTGTTATGCATGAAATCAAGACATATGATCTTCTAATACTAGAAAACAAGAGCTATTCGGAATAATAAAGCTACATACCTGAGTTTGCAAGAGGTATCGCAAGGTGCTGCCGACTCAAAACCAAGCAGCCTTAGGCACTTATCAAGGACTGAACTGAGGATGCACATCTGATAGAAAAAAGTTAAAAGTATAATTACAAGGATTAATAAAAGTTATTCTTCAATAATGAGTTTATAAGGAGTTTCAAGATTTTATGACTCTTTTCAACATCTGTAAAAAGTTTCTCAATTGTAATAGCAGTACTTCTGTTGAATATGTAATGTGTGATATTCGCAGTTGTACCTGTCCCTTGTTCACCAAGGAAAACATAAGAACTAGGGGAGAAGAAAATAGGGATTAGAACAGCAGAAACAAGAAAAAACAGAGGAACAATATTGGTTGGTGCTATAGATAACTTAACTGAATAAAACTTGGTTCTTAACATATTAAAAGGACAACGGTTACACCTATATATGCTAAATAAGATAGCATCCAAATATAACTTGAGGGGTAGACACAAGAATTTTCAACAATAGTGGCACCAAAGCCTGTAACAACAAAAAAGATAACATCAAGGCTTATCTAAAAGAAAACCAAATAAGCTCAATACACTTTAATAGCAACATGATAGAAGCATATGGCAGTAGAACTAATCAGGTTATGTATAAAACTAGATACATTATATATTATACATAGATATAAATATAGGGAAATAATTTACATACGTGAACAACATCATTCCTTTGCTTCCTACGTTTTTTAGAGGCCTGAACTTGCAACTGGAGTTCCCTTATTGCATTAAGTATTTCTGCAAAGAATTTCCTCTTCCTCGTTTCTACTCTATTCTTTTCTTCCTCCTCTAATTTTGTTAGTCTGTGCAGCAAATGATGTTAAAAGAAGAATAAGTATTAAACTAATAACTTCTTTTTTCCAAAAGCATACAAAGAAAATTCATAAACTTTTATCAACTAGTCAAAGAAAATATCCATCAAGATTCAAGATTTACCTTAGCATCTCGTTTCTTCTTTTATCAACTTTTATCAACTAGATGAAAGTACACAGTTGTTTGTTGCATTTAACCCATTAAATGTTAATCTTTAGATACAAAAGAGAATATGGAAAAGCAAGATGTTATAAACTACAATCTACCTTAAGTCCATAGAGTTCAAGCAAACACTTTGACTGAAGGTCTTCACCTATGCTTGTAGGTAATTCTAAATTCATGATAAAGAAACAAATGAGTAAAGTTAAATGATATCTACTAACAACTTCACCTGCCAGTAAATAAAATGTTAAAGTATAATACATATGCTTCTTATGGAAACCTTCAAGTTATGTGATTAGATCGATGTTTGACCAAAGCCTCCTCAAGGTCTGCCATTAAATCTCCTCTATTTGGAAATGGAGAGTTATTCTTTAACGATATCAAAAAGTTAGGCAAACACACCATGTAATAGTTATAAGTAGAACATATTTTACTCGGTAAATTCTCCTAAACATGAACAGTAGACCATAGGTCTAAAACTGAAACTGAAATTACTTATCCATTGAACACAGGGCCGTCCCTGAGATTTAGGGGGCCCTGTACAAATTAGGAAAAATAGGCCCTAAGACTGATAAAATATAAAATAATATAAAACAAAAATATGTAGTTTTTCATTCCATGTCATAATGAACCACACACAGGTCAAAAGCTACAAGGCAGTTCACGTAGACAAATAGAAAAGTTGAATTCAACTAGAGAGAATTGCAAGAACAGGTAAACCACTGCTATCTTCAATGCTCATAATGGTTTCTACACATTCATAAAGTATTGCATTCCCTGCATTCTTGTTTGACTCAGTTTTTGTTGCCACCTACATAAGGAATTTCTTAAATTCTTATAATTTTGAATTATATATCACAATTCACAATGAGCTTTATTAAAATAAAAGCTAACCTAGGTAAGAATGTGATTCATGGAATCACTAGCATCAGCATCTCCATGGCCCAAAACATGCAAAAGGCGAAGCAGTCTTATACGAAGAAAAGGGTCTGCAATACCCGAAACATCATATTCAGGAGCATATGCGTTGTTGACAACATCCTTCAAAACTTTCACCAACACCTCTGTGCATTTCTATACCAATGGAAGAAAAAAGAAAATATATCTCATCACTAAAATTACTAATTTGCACTTATAGAATCATATGTGAAACAGTTCTTAGCGCAAATACACAGTAGAAAGATAAAGAAAGAGAACAAGAACTAAAGGAAGACAATCCCAACAAATAATAGAGGATCTTTAACAAGATCAAGTATATTTACCTTCCTGAAAATTTCAAGAGCCTCTTCATTAAGGTTACAGAGCTGGATTGCTATTAAAAGAACCCCATGATGTTTTTATTTAAGTAAGGAAACAACAGGGTTGACAAGATTTTCTGCAAGGTTAGGGACCTTCTTTACAATCCTTATTAAGCACAATGTTTCCTGTAAATTGTAAGAACTTATGTGAGTATGATTCTTCATATGAAATGTGAGAATTAGATGAAACATCCTTGAGAGATCATGAAATGAAATAAATGTTAACATCAGCTTACTTTCTTTTGAATATTTGGATCTCGAAATTGCAGCAATCTTTCAACTTCAGGTGCAAGATCACGAGCCATTTCTGCAGAACATGTATTACCCAAAGCACAAAGAGCTAGTCCCACAATGTACTGATTGGTGTGGTTAAGATCTCTGCAGATGATGAAAAAAAAAGATTCTCAAGTCAACCATGTTGCTTGAACACAAGATACAGGAAAGATAAGAGTGAAGAAGCACATTCTTTTCTAACAGCAGCACGCTCTTCTGCAGCAGTTTTGTAGGCTCGTATTGCCCTAATAATGTCCCTGCAATAGACCAATAATGTTTCATTTACAGTTTCAGACCCAACTAATTAACAACAAATTACATATGTGGTATGAAATGTAGTCAAATCTTTTACAGGTGAAGGATAAACCAAAAAGATGGAAAATCTTAAGTAGAGAGACATATGGTTTGCGAGGGATGGTTCATGACAGAGTTCACAGATTATCTTCAAACCCAGATTAGGATCTTATAAGTTAGTGACAGTGTCTTACTCATTTGAGTGACCCATCCAATCGGGAAATACATGGATGAATTCCATTAAATGTACGCAAATCAAATGCCCCAACTATTACGAACGCGAACTAACTCTCAATATAGACAACTTGAGATAACGTTAATACAAATTAGGTCGAAATGAAGAACTAGTTCAAAATTGATCACAAGGAAAAGCTTTAAAACATAAGATCAATTGTAAACAAGCAACTCACCTTAGACGCGTCCTAGACAAAAAGGGCTTCATGATTAGGTCGGTTTTGAAACCGCGAGAGAGCTCGATCAGATCTTGAGATGTTTAGTACAAAAATGAACCATATAACCGGGTTGTAGACCGGTGACTGCAATTATATGTATGTTTGATCAAATCGAGATCTGGGGAAAGGTCAATTACGAGGATCTGAAGAGGAATTTGAGATCTGTAACCTATGGATGCTAATGGAAACGTGATGATGATGACCAAAAATCTTGATTTCTCTTGTTAAATTCTTAGTTCAATCCGAGCTAGGGCTTGTAAGGCCCTAAATCGCTGGCGCTGTGTGGGATGAGAAGCGGTAAGGTCCTAAATCGTCGACTCTAGGATATAAGTAGATGGAGCATGTAAGTTCTTCACACTTTCAAGCATAATTGTAACCCAATCGTCGGCTCAAGCATAATTGTAACCCAATCATAGTCACTCAATGCGAAAATATGCAATTTTGGAACGGCGGAACTCTATGGCGAAACTGATAGCAGCTTGTACACTTTCGGAGTTGTACTTCTTGAGATATTGTCAGGCGAAGAAGGCAAGTGACGAACGAAGGAAGGAGTGTCGATAACTAGGCAAGGCAGCAGTCGAATCTATGGAGGGGGAAGAAAGGATCGTAATTAGGGCAAGAAGGAAACAAAAGTGGAGGATAAAAAAGAAGGCGGGTGTTCAAAATTTTTGGGATTTTATTTTCCCCCTATCTACTAAATGCGCTTTTCATTAAAATTATAAAGCGAAATTCATAGAGGACGCCCATTTAAGATACAGCGCCCTCCGTGTTTTTAATTTTTTCTCGTATGACGCTAATTCAAGGGCACGCAATAATGCGTGACCTAAATCCTTAAATTTTTTGAAGAGATGATGATTTTTTAACGTCACTCTCCATTGCGTAACATAAATCAATGAGTATCGTGGTTTGCGCGTCGTAAAAGGCAAATTTTCTTGTAGTGTAAAGTAGTATTCTTTGGTGAAACCGGAATATCTTCACTCACCGGGTTTCTTGCGGACTGAGCTTCGGCTTGGGAATTTCACTTCTCGGGATCTTCGGGGCCTCGGGACTTGCTTCGGGTCTCGGGAATGATACCGAGGCTTCGGGGGTATTTCTTTGCATGTAAATCGATGCAATACAGGTGAGAGATGAGAGAATAACACCTTGCTCCCGAGTTCACTAAAGGAAAGAAAAGAAAAGAAAGGAAGAACAAGGAGAGAAAAGAAAAGGAAGGGAACGGAAATAATAAAGTATTCAGTGCTCCCGAGTTCGAAAGAAAGGAAAAGAGAGTATTCATTTTAGGTGCTCCCGAGTTCATTAAAGGAAAGAAAAGAAAGTAAAAGAAGATAATTATACCCTTTTGTGTTTTTGAGTAAATATTAAGTCTTTACATCCCCACATTCATTCTACCGTACCCCCTACCCCAAAAAAACCAACTCTCCCTTCCTCCCCTCTACTTAAAACATTAAAAAAACAATTTTATTTTAACATAAAGTAAATTGTAAAAAGGGAAACCGCATGTTATTCAATTGTTTTCAAGATGCAAAACGAAAACCACAAACAACTCAAAAAAAATAAAAAAAACCAAAATCATAAACGCATTAGATCAATCCAGTAACAATCACCCAAGGTTATTTAATCACGTGCACCCATCATATCTTTGAGGACACCCATCCGTATCTGAAGGGGACAACTGAACAATGTCCTAGCTTTTGCTTGATTTGTTGCCAAAAAATTTAGAGCCCTCGGTAATTCATGGGGTTCCAAACCCACCAACTCCAATTCTCTATAAATTTCTTCCCCTGTATATTCCCGAGGATAAGCTCTATCAAAAATTATATTACCCTCCCTGATAGCACCAGCCACATTATCAACCGATTTCATTATCTTTGAGTTAATATCTTCTTCTTCGTCGTCGTCTTCAAATTTCCTCTTTTTACTCTTACACTTCTTTTCACTTGAAGACTGTTCTTGTGAAAAAGGAGGTGGAATAACATCCTGAATGTTATCATCAAGATCAACATATTTGTTCTCCAAATGAATTTCATTGTTAGCTAACATGTCATCAACTTCTTTAATTGTTTCAACTTGAATATTTTCATTTTTATTTAATCGGGCATTTCTTTCTTTCGCTGTCTCAGCATGTGCACCAGATGCCTTATCCCTTGCAAATAACATCAACATCTCATCGAAGTATGCAATCTTTTTTGTCTTTAACGACACATCCTCAGGTTTTGACTGTATAACAACACAAAAATAATTAGTATTGCAAACGATAACATAAAATATTTTAAAAAAATAACATAGACATAAAATGAACAATTACTTTTATTAAATTATCCCATACTTCTTCCTACGCTTCTATTAGTTGAGTAGACGAATTCCAAGAGAACCCGCTCATAGAAATTCCCTTAAACACATCGTACCATTGCGAAAAATGTTTTTTTTAAGGTTTTGTAGCGATTCTTCAAATGACTTTTGGTAATATCCATTTGATGGTTTGTGTTCAATTCCTCAACCATTTGAGCATATGCAGTTGGTGTGAAACTACCATTCACCCTATTGCCTATCTCTTGTTGTTTAATCATCGCTTGGATGTACGCATAATCCATTATTTCTGACCATTTAACTTGTTCCTTTTCACTACCACCAGCTTCCTGTTTGATCATGATGACTTTGCACATAGGAATAAAAATTAAAGAATGGTACATTGTTAGACCACAATATGAAGGATAATACTAATAAAAAATATGAAGGGTAAATAACATAATTAATCTCAAAAACCAATCATCAATACAATGTGAAATTGTAAACAAAATGTATCAAAATGAAACTTGTTTTACATATTAATTTAATTGTTTGAATGTGTCAAATAATTTGCCCACATTTCATTTGCAATTGAATTCCTTAGTTGCTCTGCCATTCTATTACCCTCATATGTTTCTGTTGAATTACAACGATCTTGCTCTTGTGGTCCGTTTAAGATCTCTTGCATCACCTCATCTTCAAGATTTATGTCGCGGTCTTCATCTAATAAAAAGTTGTGTAGAATACAACATGCCAAAAATATGGCAGATTGTGTTTCACTAGAGTAAAATGGTTCCGTTGTACTTCGAATGATAGGAAACCTTCTTTTAAGGACACCAAAAGCTCGCTCAATGGTGTTACGTAAAGAAGCATGACGAAGATTAAACAACTCTTTAGAATTTTGTGGACCACGCATGGAGTACTCTTTTAAATGATATCTAACACCTCTATATGGCGCCATTAGTTTATTCGTATGAGGCAAACCCCCATCTACTAAACAGTATTTACCTATAAAGAGCTTAATCAATATTATTGAAAAATATTAGATATTGAAATTACATTGGTTTAATAAATTACCTGATGGAATTAGCAGTTTATCATTTCTAGTAAATGCGTTCTTTATTATTCTCGAGTCTGATGCAGTACCCTCCCAACCCGTTAAAACATACGTAAACTTCAAATCAAATGTACAAGCAGCTAATACATTTATTGTCGGGTATCCCTTACGACCACGGTATCTAGGGGCATCTCTATTAGGCACATGGACACGAACATGTGTTCCATCTATTGCCCCTATACAATCCTTGAAAAAAGCATAAAATCTCGTACTTTCTTGAATTTCTCTCGGGACAACATCACCTGTAGGTTGCTGAACATAAAGACCTTCTATTGCTATAATCGATCGTAATACTCTATGGAAGCACCTACTCGTTGTTGATCTAGAGCGACGATACATCCACGAGGTAAACCGAGTTCGCAAATCATTACTTACAATATGCAAAAATCTAGCAACATGTTCCTCAACAGACATGCGTTGCGTACGTCGTAGACCACCTACAGTTTGTAAGATTTCACACAATCTCCTAAAAGCGTTTTCACTCATACGAATAAGGTCACGACATTGACCACCTTCTAAAAGATTGTGGAGCAACTCTTCCCGTACAACTTGTCTTTCTAAAATAACTTTTCTAGTGGGTAATCTAACCTGCTTTTTGTTGGCCATATTACGTTGTGTAATAAAAGTCAACAACAAGCAAATCAAGTTAACGACTTGCAATTGTCGGGCTCTTAAAGCATGAGCAGGGTTGAGTACCGGAGCATCCATAAGGACTAAATATGAACTAATCCTTTTTTCTGATACATGATCATATAGTTTAAGTTAAATTTAAACAACATTGATAAAAATAATATGTAATTATAAAGAGTTGATTTATTAATTATAATTAATAAACTTTTTTTGTTATAAAAGTTAAATGTAATCTAGGGGCAAAACAGTCATTTTGATAAAAATAACATGTAATTATAAAGAGTTGATTATTAATTATAATTAATAAACTTTTTTTTTTATAAAAGTTAAATGTAATCTAAGGGCAAAACAGTCATTTTGATAAAAATAACATGTAATTATAAAGAGTTGATTTATTAATTATAATTAATAAACTTTTTTTGTTATAAAAGTTAAATGTAATCTAGGGGCAAAACAGTCATCTCTGTGTGAAGATAAAAAAAAGCAACCTGTGGCAGCATATTGCTTGTGAAATTTGTAGACTTGGACATGCAGATCCATAAGTTTACTCCATAAAATTATATATATTTTTTCTTAAAATCCATGTAATAGATACAAACTATATAAACAAAAGATGGACAAAATATTACCTGTTACAGGTAAAATTCTATATTATCTATTAACTCTATATTATCTTTAAGCAGTTTGAACATTTCAAGTTAAGGGTATTACCTGTTACAGGTAAAATTCTCTGCTATTATAAACAAAAGATGGACAAAATATTACAATTTTTAGGAGGGACAAAATATTACAATTTTTTGTCCCATTGATAAAAAAAAATTTGTAAGCAGTTTGATGGGATTAATTAGTGCTATAATACAACACAGATACATAGTCTAACCAAAAAAAATGGCAGAAGTCATAACAGAAGCAAAATCCGTAACACAAATAAGAAGAAATTGGGCAACAAACATAAGGCAGAAGCCTAATCAGGTAGAATACAGAAGGATATCAAAAAAAAAAAAAGAAACAGTTGAAGAAGAAATTGGGTACCTGGTGTTTGGTGTTTGTAACAGAGAAGAAGACGAGGCAGAAGCTGATCAGTGAGCATATCTATTTATTGTTAGGCTAAAGGGTATTTTCGTCATAATCTACCTTTTTATCTTCCAGCCGTTTTCTTTCTCTCCAATTCCACCCATTTTGGGAGGAAAGTTTGGAACGTTACAAATCCTCCCAAATCTGCTCTCTTCATCTCTTCTCTTCAAAAAAAAAAAAAAAACTCGGGAGCACCCAAACTTCTCTTTTTTCCTTCCAAATCCTCTCAATTCCGTTCTCTTCTTTCATTAAGTGATACTCAGGAGCAGGGTGTAAGAAACCAAACTCGACTGGCCCTTCAAATCTATTTATAGGGCAAAACTTGCCCTTGCCACGTCATGACACCTTTTTCCACATCGTGGGCTTGGATGTCACTGCATGCGTCATCGTCCATATGCTCTGTCAGGCTCCAGAATGCGTCAGAAGTCATGCCACGTTGTGGCTACTGTTGGCACGTCGTGGTCTCTGACACAACTTTGGGGTTCGCGCCCCGAATTTCAGAAATTCATAACTTTCGCATACGAACTCCATTTTCGACGTTCTTTATATTGACACGTAGGTGATATTATGATCTACAACTCTAGTTTAGACTCCATTGGCTAATTGTAAATTTATTTTTACTATATTATAAATATATTACTTATATGTTATTTTTAGTAGGCCGGGATAGGAAAACTCCGTTATAAATTCATAACTTCTTCATCCGATGTCCGTTTTCTCCTATCTTTTTATCGTTTCACTACTGTTAACAAGACCTTCGATTCTAGTATAGATTGTTTCGGCTAAAACCCGCTCGATCTCAAATCGAGTATTCAGGTTGCATACTGCTAAGTCGAAACTTCAAAAAATCATAACTTCCTTATACGAAGTCAGATTTAGGCGTTCTTTTTATGCACGGTCTTGGTTTAATGAAATCTTCAACTTTCGTTTAGATTACTAAGGCTAGATATCGTTCTATCTTAAATTTGTATTTTACGTCATTCAGCGTCGTGTCGGTTTTATCGCGAAACTTCAACAAGTCATAACTTCTTCGTTATAACTCGGATTTCGGCGTTCTTTATATATACGGAATCCTTGTAACATATACTAGAACTTAGTTAAGATTACTCCTTCTAAATAATATTTCATCAAAAAGTCAATTTTGATGCTTATCGTCTCTACATTGACTAGCCCAGATCTACGGGCGTTACAATTATCTCCCCCTTAGGATGATTACGTCCCGGAATCATCAACGAAATAGGACTTGTATAATGATTCCATACGCTATCTCTTCATGCTAGGTAATAACACTAACTTCTATGTTTCTTTGAAAGAGTATCTAACTCTAGGGCTTCTTGACCGCAGACGATGCTCAATCTTGCATCTGCTTTTCGTACTATGTTGCACTTTCAATCATAACCTTCAAGTTACAAAATAAGTCCTCATTTTGGACTCCTCCTTCTTCTTAGGATAGATACTTTGCTTTATCTATTGTAACATACCGATGGGTCATATTCTAATGACCTCTCATCATATGATCGAACGCATAGAATCAAGTCTCTTAGAGTTAAATTCTAGAATGGATTATTCTTTCCTTCATATTCTAATGTGATATAATCACATTTTAGCATGTAGCATTTCTAGCTACTAACTTCTTTAACAACGAGCGCGATGCTATCGATCACATTGATTTCAATCTTCTGACTTAAGTCAGATGCTACATCAAACTTGGTTCTGAGAACCACGTAACAAACTCATTTCAGTCGGACTCAATTTGTCATGACCGCTAGGGTCAGAATAACAACCCCTTACTTGTCATTACCGAAACAATGGTAATGACATACATAAATAAAACGGAATTAATTACTAGATTCTTGGTAACCTTGCGACTTTCCCTGATCCAAGCGTGAGTCGTGTGCTTCCGGTAGCATAGATCTCTACTACCATTCACACTTACTCATACTCATCCCAAGTATTGTCTCGCAGTTAACCAAGTCACCATACATAAATCATATAATCATTCAACACATCAGATAACAAAACCAGGGTTTATATTATTTCTTGAAAACACCCAGAAAAATTGTCGGCCTACGAATGTGGTTTCGATCGTTTCGGTGATGCCAGAAGTCGTTTTGATATACGATTTTATCTTGTTTCTATTTTATTTATTATCCCTGATCCGGAAGTCACCTTTTCCTTTCCTCGGGGCATTGCACGTTTAGCCAAACCGCTCCACTCGTGCTTCTCCTTGCGTCTTGCACTAGAACAGGGAAAGTGCTTTAGTATTGCTGAATAGAGCGCCTACTCTGCATAGATTAGGCATACAGGCATTCCTCCCCGTTTTAGTGGAAGGGCGCGCTATTTGTTTACATCCATTAGTTTGTAAGGGCTTCAATGCAGACTTTGACGGGGATCAAATGGTTGTTCATGTGCCTTTATCTTTGGAGGCTCAAGCAGAGGCAGAGTGGGAGATTGACATCCTTTCAATCTTGGCTAAGAGGACTATTCAAATCCTGGTGAAGTAAAGGACTATGAGAATTCTCAAGTCGATGCGAATATAGGGCCATTTTGATGCGGGAATTGTGCAAAAGGTAAAGGATTGAATCCTTTTAATGAAATAAAGTTTTTGATTGGAATATGAATCAAACCGAAAGACCCTTTAACTATTAAGGGGGTTAATAGAACGAATCACACTTTTACCACTAGAACGAATCGGATCGACTCGACTGATATGATAGATGGAATGGTAGCTTGTTTTATGATTTAGTTAGGACTCTGTCTCCCTTTCGTGATCTTCCGCCCTCCGGTTGGGGAAGGTCCGGAAAGCCCTCACTCCCCCTTTTTCAAAAAGAAGCCCCACTCAACAAAAAGTTCATGTTCACCCTATACTATGCCTCTAATAGGCTATGCTTCCTGATACAGACTTTATGTATTAATATGAAGTCTTCATCTTTTAATCCTCCCATCGTTTTTTGCTTCGTCGAGGAGCATGTGGAATGCTCTCGGCTGTGGCGGTGTGTCTTTCTTTGGGAAGTCTTTAGAAATATACCCTTCTTCGTTACATCTGTAGCACACCTTGTTGATAGGTGCACACTTGTTGGCGTAATGCTATGTCTTCCCACATTTGTAGCAAGTCATCTCCTCGCTAAATTTCCCGAAGTGTTTCTTTTTACACTTCTCACACCATTTAGCTTCATCTCTTCCGCCAGACTTCGAGAATTTTCTTTCTTTGTTGATCGTTGAAGATCCTTCATGTTTCTTTTCCTCTCCAACTTCAGATCTCTCCAGACCATTTTCTTTTATTTGGTTATCAACATTTTTGACTGCTTAGATGGCAGCTTTTCAGAGTGGTTGCTTGCTTGACTATTGGACCAAATTCCACTGGTAATCCATTGGCAAACTTGTTGACCTTGGAAAGTTCAGTTGGAATTAGGTATGGAATAAGCTTCATCTTCTCTGTAAAGCTTGTAGCGTATTCAGTGACGCTCAATTTTCCCTTCTTCAGATTTTGGAACTCATTGTTGATTTCCAGAAGATCCTGCTCAGATCAGTATAGCATTTCTAGTTGCACCACGAATTCCTTCGAAGACATCTTGTTAGCTTCCCCCTTGGGCATCGAACCATCCAGTAACTTCCACTAGCTCAGTACTCCAAATTTTAACAGAGGAATTGCAAGAGCGGTCTTCTATCTATTGCTACACTCGCAACTTTCAAACATTGTCTCCATCTAGGAGATCCAGTCCATGACTTGCACCGGTGTCGGGCTCCCAAAAAGACATGGTGGTTTGGATGCCATGATATCTTTATACTTGCACCCACGCACATAATTTCCTCTATCCTGGTTATTCTGCCTAACAATCGGTGGATCATCTTGATTAATGATCCCACTAAAGTTTCCTCCTTCAGACTGCCCTCCATTTACTTCGGGCTCTTCAAATTGAATTCAAAATTCTTCGCGATTCTGCCTAATCAGACGTCTGGTTTCTTCCATCTGATGATCCAACATTTCCTGGATCATCACTTGAACTCCGACCATTGTCATTGGTTTAGGTGCTGCTGTTACAACATCTATTTGCTTAATTACTGGTATTTGATTAATGTTTTCATTAGTATTTCCAACTCCACTCCTTGTTCTCACCATTTTTGATCTATACACCGAATAAGGAGAAATTAGATCCCCATTCACGATAGATATTCAAATCATCCTTATCACTCCGAAACATTTACATCCTAGTTCTAATATCGTAGTCATACGCTTAGAATCCTAAACACATAAGGTTTCCAGTTCCGATCGGAAACAGACCATAGATCCGAACAAATAATATCATATATGGAAAACATACAACATTTAGCACATAAAATCATTTTAGGCAATTTTCCTAAAATATAATAGTGCTCGTGTCTAAAATATGGTAGACACTCACCTCACAATCATCGCTTACCATTCTAGTTTAAGTCTAGAAATCCT